AGTCAGGAGGCCACCACCAAGAAGGCCCTCTCCCTCGTCCCCACCAATTGCGCCTGCGAAGGAGGCGGGAGCGCGAGCAGGGCCTCTCCAGATGATCGCAGAGATCATGTGGGTTCGTACACATAGCTTCTTCAGTCACTTAGGAACAGCAATAGATGAATATCATGAACCCAGACAAGATAGCAGTATGGCCTTTATAGTGGAGAAGAAAGCCAACACATGTTTTAAATGTTATTGACAGATTTTCTTGACTATTTATGAGTCACCTTGAATCTGACTCTAGGAGAAAGGAAACATATAAATGTATAAAGCAAAGGAAACCTTTTCTGCCTTACAAAGACAACTGCTGAACTGCCCTTCTGCATGCCTTATCCATGAAGATCAGGAGTGGCCTCATTTACTTTAATATCTGCTTAAGGGGCTCTTGTTAATGTGATTTCTGGGATGTATGGCCATGTTCTAGTGGCATTTTCTCCTGATGCCCTGTATCTGTGACTGGCATTTTCAGAGGATCTCTCTGAAGATGCTAGCCACAGATGCAGGTGAAATGTCAGGAGAAAATGCTGCTGCAACACAGCCATACAGCCCAGAAACTACACAACACTTCAGTGATTCCGGCCGTGCAAACCTTCAACAATACATTGAACAGGTCTTATTGCTGTTTCCAAAACTGTAAGATTACCTTACTCATTTATTTGATTTTGTTCTTCTGTCACAAAAACTTTTTTTTCTCAGCTGTAAAGTTTTCAGTTCTCAGATCAAGAAACCATAACAGTTGGGAGGGAAATGCAAGTTTGGTGGGTCTTCTTCTTTTTTTAAATCATCCTTTTCTATTTATTTTTTTTACTTTTGTCATTCTGTTTTCTCACTTTCAATTTTCAGACCATAACCATCTAGACTTGAAATGCTTGTGCAAACAAATTTGCACAAACATTGCAAACAAACCCATGCCCAACTGAAAGACCAGAAAGGGGTTTTGCAGTTCCATAGGTCAGCTGTTCTTCAAAGTTTTTGCAACTGAACTGGGATTGCAAATGTTTAGCCTACTAATTTCTTTAATTCAGCATAATAGAACATGTTCTGCAAGCCATTCAAAGCTACAGACACCAACAAGATTTGCTATGTTGCAGCTTGCCAGAAATGCCATTTTTAGACCTGTTATCTTGGAAGGAATCACTTTTCTAGACTTCACGCCTTTTATCCTCCCTCAAAACAAGCAGTGGCAACCCAAACAATTCTACATTTTTAAAATACAAGTTGAATAAACTTTATGTGCCAACTATTGGTATACTAAAATGAAGGTCAATATGATACTTCTCCTGATTCTGCCCACCGGTAGGATGCTGACTTTAACTTCAGCATTAGTCATGGGACTGTATCCTCTACAATTGTGTCTGAGATTAGCCAGTTTTCATAGTGTGTCAGCACTACCACCCATCACAGAAAATAATCACAAAACAGAAGGGTTTTACAGTGTTCAGTAATTATAATTCCAAATTATGCAATGGGAATAATTTTTAAATGCACTACATGTAGTATAGATATTCAATGTGATTGTCTCTCAGTTTTAATTTATATGAGCAGGATAAGAAGGATTTTGTACATATGCAGAGAAGGATCATTCCACTGAAGACATCTTAATCTCTGGCTACTGGTGTCTGATATCTGAAATTTTAGCAAAAGGTTCATTTCATTTTTTTATTTTAATCGTCTGTCAAAGAGACTAAAGATGTTTTCTTTTTATAATAACCCTTGGCATTATCTCAGTTTATGCCGTAAGATTCCTACATAGCCCAAAAATACTTTGTGTAGTCTGGCTGCATTGATTTGGAGGGACTTGTTTCTGCAGAGAGGTGCTGTCTATTTAAGAAGTACTTTTATTCGTATATTTATTTATCGTGTCAGGAGCAGACCAAACAGTTGTGTTGCATTTTTTTAAACAAACTACCAAACAAACAGACAAAACACAATGTTTGCAAGCACAATGTTTGCACAATTCAAAGTGCTGGTTTTGACCTACAAAACCATATACGGTTCCGGCCCAGCGTATCTGTCCGAACACATCTCCCTCTACGTCCCACCTCGGAGTTTAAGATCCTCCGGGGAGGCCCTGCTCTCGGCCCCGCCTCTATCACAAGTGAGACTGGCGGGGACAAGGAGCAGGGCCTTCTCGGTGGTGGCCCCTCACCTATGGAATTCACTCCCCGGGGAAATTAGATCATCGCCTTCCCTCCTTTCCTTTAGAAGGAAATTAAAAACATGGATTTGGGACCAGGCGTTTGGGCAATCTGGCAGATAAATAAAGGACAACGACGACTGATAGGAATGGAAAATGTGGAATGAAGTTATGGACTCTGAGTTGCGAACGTTGAGCATAAGATTGGTTTTTTATTGACTGTGATATATATTGATTGTTTTTAACTGTTAAAACTGTTTTAATTGCTGTCTATATTTTATCTGTATTACTGTGTAGGCATCGAATTGTGCCTTTTTGTAAGCCGCCCTGAGTCCCCCCTCGGGGATTGAGAAGGGCGGGGTAAAAGTACACGAAATAAATAATAATAAATAAATAAGCTTGGTTGTTGATTAAATGTCCTTTGACCAGTAGCTGGCCACTTGGAGTGCCTCTGGTGTTGCTGCAAGAAGGTCCTCCATTGTGCATGTAGCAGGGCTCAGGTTGCATTGCAACAGGTGGTCAGTGGTTTGCTCTTCTCCACACTCGCATGTTGTGGATTCCACTTTGTAGCCCCATTTCTTAAGATTGGCTCTCCATCTTGTGGTGCCAGAGCACAGTCTGTTCAACGCCTTCCATGTCGCCCAGTTTTCTGTGTGCCCAGGAGGGGAGTCTCTCATTTGGTATCAGCCATTGATTGAGGTTCTGGGTTTGAGCCTGCCACTTTTGGACTCTCACTTGCTGAGGTGTTCCAGCGAGTGTCTCTGTAGATCTTAGAAAACTATTTCTAGATTTAAGTCGTTGACGTGCTGGCTGATACCCAAACAGGGGATGAGCTGGAGATGTCTCTGCCTTGGTCCTTTCACTATTGGATGCTACTTCCCGGCGGATGTCAGGTGGTGCAATACCGGCTAAACAGTGTAATTTCTCCAGTGGTGTAGGGCGCAGACACCCCGTGATAATGCGGCATGTTTCATTAAGAGCCACATCTACCGTTTTAGCGTGGTGAGATGTGTTCCACACTGGGCATGCATACTCAGCAGTGGAGTAGCATAGCGCAAGGGCAGATGTCTTCACTGTGTCTGGTTGTGATCCCCAGGTTGTGCCAGTCAGCTTTCATGTGATATTAGCTTGTATGATTTCGTATGATTTAGCTTGTAAATCGCCTAGAATATCTAGGATGGAGGGCGATTAATAAGTAATTAAAGATGATGATGATGATGATGATGATGATGATGATGATGATGATGATATTATTTCTAGCGCCTACTTTTTGCTTGATATTCAGGCAGTGCTTCTTGTAGGTCAGGCACAGTCCAGAGTGACTCCCAGGTATTTGGGTGCGCTGCAATGCTCCAGTGGGATTCCTTCCCAGGTAATCCTCAGAGCTCGGGATGCTTGTCTGTTCTTGAGATGAAAAGCACATGTCTGTGTTTTAGATGGATTAGGGATCAGCTAGTTTTCCCTGTAATAGGCAGTAAGAGCACCTAGAGCTTCGGAGAGCTTCTGTTCAACCATCTCCAGAAGCGATTTTTATTCGTGATTAAAAACTGATCGTTTGGGAACCACTCCCAAAAAACACTCCTTAGGAGCTTCAAGATCCATATCACATACATGCTCTTCTACATGGTGATAAAATCTCTAAGATGCCTAAGTCCATAAAAATAGTTGAGTGAACCATTTTCAAATGCAGATATTCATCACAACTGCTCCCATAGTCAATGAGAATCCAAACTATGGTATTCTGGACCCAAATCAATATGTGGAGATAGAACTGTATAAACTATTACTTTCAATGGATAGAGGTTTATTTTCGTTACTAATATTTTTCTAAAATTGCATTCAGTCCATTGACATTCTATTATACTATATAACAAAATCTGAATAAAATGTTCCTGTTTGAAAGGGTTATTTTCTCTTTAATTGTGTGGTACATACTTTGAAAGTAGTTGTTATTCATTTTTGTGGCTGCCACAAAGTATGTTGAATTGGTTGAGACTCTCTTGAGATATTCATTGAAAAACTATAGCAAAATGTGCTGCAGGATGTCTTGCAAACACAACATTTTTGCAGTTTAATAAAGTGTTTTCATGTTTTGTGATAGAACCAATTAGAAAATGACATTTATAACCCAGAAACAAAAAATGTTATGTAGTATTATTGTAATTTATATAATTGCGATGTAATATTGTAATATTTTGTATTTGTAATACAGTATATTCTGGCGTATAAGACTACTTTTTAACCCAAGAAAATCTTCTCAAAAGTCAGGGGTCGTCTTATACGCGGGTGTAGTCTTATGCATGGGAGTTGTCTTAACTCTATATTTTAACTGGAAAAGGTGGGGGTCGTCTTATACGCCCAGTCGTCTTATATGCCGGAATATACGGTATATCCTTTTTTGTTTATTTGTTTGTTTTGTTAATCTTGTGAACCACGTTGAGCCACAGTTTGGTGGAACAAGTTGGGTAGAAATCATATAAATCAATAATCACAACAATATTTTTGCTTAGTGAATCCATCTTTTCCACCCACTTTGAGGAGCATAGCTAAACTCTCAGAGCACAGGAAAGGCTGCAGAAGCAGAAGGTTTCATCATTGGCAGATCCCTCCCTATCAAAAGGTCCCAAGAATCCACCGTGACATAAATGTAAACATTTCTTTTAGATGGTTGCAGAAGACTCAGGAATTAATCTTTTGTGTTCTCCAGAGAACAGTGCAAAGAGTTTGGGGCTAAAAATATAACATCTTCCCAAATATGATGTATGTTTAATACAACATAGCAACTGGGGCAATGAATAACATTTGCATTATACATCTTTTCCAGGTGAGGATGATGAAGATGCAAATGTGCTGATCCTCAGCTATCCTCAATACTGTCGCTACCGGTCCATGCTGAAACGTATCCAGGGCAAGCCGTCCTCTGTACAAGCAGACCAGTTTGCGTTAGCCCTTGGGGGCGTTGCTGTCATTAGCAAAAACCCACAGATCCTCTACTGTCGAGATACGTTTGATCACCCAACTCTTATTGACAATGAGAGCATATGTGACGAGTTTGGTAAGTCATTTTTCTTCTCATACCGTTGTTAGTTAAAAACCATTTTGCTGTTGAAATTGCTCTTTTTTCCAAGTTAAAGATGGGAATAATGGGTAAACCTTTCAAAAGCAGCAGAGCTATATATAAGTAAATTGCTCATTGCCAAGAGTATTCCATCTTTATTGGGAGATCAAAGATGCATCTGCAACTGTTTTCAGTCTTCGTGTTTTTAAGTGGTGCTTTCTCATGATTAAAACACAATTTTTAAAAAATGTATTTTTTTAAATACCCTGCCTTTCTATTATAAAAGAAATTCAAGAAGGCTTATTGTAAACTGAAGAGATATTTGTTTGTCTGCTTCACTATTTATTTATTTACTTACTTTATTTACTTTATATTTATCCTGCCTTTCTCCTCATATAGCGACACAATACAAATTAAAAACGATCAAATGCATTAAGATATGGATGCAGAATTTTTTGAAACAGTAATAGTTTAATAGTGTTTGTACCACACATTTTTATTGTGCAGCCCCCATCTGGAACAATGTCTTCCAACCCAAAGCTCAGTTGCTACATTCGAATAAAGCTATATATATATAGGTGTGCATGTAGCTGAGTAATGCTTCTCCGTTTCCACTCCAGTTGTTCACACTGCTGAAGAGGCAAGCAATTTTTCAATTTGCCTTTCAGGTCTGAAATCATAAAGTGAGTAGCTTCTCTAGCATTTTGTTGGAAACTGTCCATAGACCTCTGTCTTTCCAGCCTTTCCATTCCCACATCTACCGTTTTAGCATGGTGAGATGTGTTCCACACTCAGCAGCGGAGTAGCATAGCGCAAGGGCAGATGTCTTCACTGTGTCTGGTTGTGATCCCCAGGTTGTGCCAGTCAGTTTTTACTGTGTTTGTTGGACTTGGAAACATTTTCAAGGGCCTCGATGGAAGAATCTTTAAGGTTTACTTTCAGACAATAGTTTTCTTCTAAGTTGCAGCATAATATTTTTACTTTTCATGGAAATAAAAAAAAAGTTCATTCTTACTCAACATACAGCTCCCATGTCATATCACTCCTGCAAGTAGGCCACCTCTATGAGCTGCTGTGAAGTGTGTTCATGCATATAATTAACCCTGATTCACAAAAGCTTATTTTCAATAGGGCACAGAAGTGCTTTAAAAATCTGCTATGACTACACTCATTAAACTGCTTACTCTATAGGATTTCCATTTACTTCCGCTGGCAGTACTCAGGTACATGTTTGAGGCTTTCAGCCTTATTCATTTGATGGAGATTTAAAAGCAGCTGTGCTGGAGAGGTTTTGGGGCTCCGTTCCAGGCGAGAATTGGGAGGCATCCTTTCACTATTTATATTAAGTATATAAAATGCATTCTACTCAGTCCCTACTTCAGAACAATACATTGCAGAATTTAGCCCATCAGG